GAATCATTGATAATTACTTATTTTCAGTATTAAAAATACTGGATAATAAGTAATTATCAATGATTCTTAGTATGATATAAGGGAATACTAAGATTATAAATATTATACTATATTTTATTTTCGACTACGTGTAAAATTTCTCATGTGTCCACTAAAACTTGCTGTAACGTCGAATAAATTACAGTTAAGCTATCGCAATTAATGTTAGATATAAAGTAGGTATAAAATAGGTATATAAATTGTAATATAACATGCATTTTTATTTTCGTTTTCACTACTTGTTTATAAGTACTATTATAAACATCTTTTACTCACATTTTGGGTAAGATGGCCCACTGCAATTCTAACATTTATAAAACGAAAGTTGTTATATTCCAAAAATTACTTTCAATATTACAGTAATTAAATCTTATGTGCAATATGTTTTGATAAAAAATTGGATTTAGAATTTAAGTTTTGTAATAGAGGTTTCTATTTTATATGTGTATTACATTTTTCATAAATAACAGGTATTAAATATCCTATACTACAATAAATATGTCAAATTATGTTTTTTTCATTATTCTATAAAATAATAGGTACAGAATCTTGAACATAAAATATGTATAGGTCATTTATTCCTTATAGCCATTTTGTTTTAAACATTTAGGTAAGGCTAATGCTTGTCATGTTTTGATATTCTTGTAATAAATAATTTCACTGAAGTATTTTTCTTTTAACTCTGATGGTATTATGTACTGTAAGCTTCAGTGAAATAATATGCCAAATGCTATTAAGAAATAACAATAAGAAATGTATTTTTTTACATTTTAAAAAAGTATGGCCATTTTACTCGAGTTTACTCTATCTAAGTTTCTCTTCGTTTTTAGTTTATTACTATCTTCTTTGAAAAATATAAAAAAAATAGAATATAAAATATATTTAATTTTTATTTTTATTTGTTATAAGCAAAAAATACAATAGTTTAAGTAAATAAAAAACAATTTTATATTTTACCACGAAACTTTTTCGAGTATAACATTTAAAGAGTTAACATGCCAATTAAAGCCTGGATTATTCTTTAATAATAAAAATATATTTATTAAATGGTTTGTATAGTAAGTCTTTAATAAACGGAAAGAGTTTCATAAAACAAATATGTATGTAACAAATGCTGATGTCTGGACATCTGTTTTATATAATGATAGGTTTTTAATAGAATTAGTAAATAGAATTAACATTTTATATTTTATACTTCAAATTATGAAAAACTTTAACAGGTTTATAAAAATCAACGCAAAATGACTGTTGTAAATATAATTATTTAATTATTGCTTTATCAAGGAAACTTTTATTTTATTGTTATTTAATATACTACCCACATAGCACAAAACATCTCAGAAATGTCTCCAGAATATTATAAATATCATTTTTAAAATATTACATTTAAGATATTCTTGAGATATTGTACAGATATTTAAAATATAAAATATGAAATATTTCGTATGAGATATTTTAAGAATATTTCATTTGAAACATTACATTTGCGATGTTTCTGAAATATTCTGGAGATCTGTCATTGGAAATGTCTCAGAATATCTCAAATAGAATATTCTAGAAATATTTCATTTAAAACATTATTATTTGCGAAATTTTTGAAATATTCTGGAAATCTGTCGCGGGAAATATATCAGAATATAATTGAATATTCTAGAAATATTTTACTTAAAACATTACCTATTGTACAAATTTCTATTGTATGTATATTCAAAGATTTCTTGACTTGAAAAAGTCAGTTAGTTGTTAACACTTAAATTTAGGTGTTTATCCCGAATTTTTTGGTGTTTACACCTACAAGTTGAGTGTTTTTTGTAAGGATATACTAATAATAATAATGAACACAAGTAATTAAATTTAATAATAATTATTTATTGTTATAATGTGCGTTTGCGCGCGCGCGCGCGCGCGCATGTGTGTGTGTGTGAGTATGTGTCCAGTTCATTATATATGTGAGATAATTTTGAGACATTATAGAAATTATTCAAAATATTTGTATATATATTTATAAAAAAATTTTATAAAAATTACTCTATTTTAAACCACGATATATTATTACTAGAAATCTTTTAAAAATCAATCTAACAAGTAACACTAACCCAGTGCCACACGTCGATTTTCTTGAAACTTTGCATATATGTAGTACATTGAAAAACATTACACGTATTTTTTTATATTGGCTAACAAGGCATTTTAAGGTTAGAAAACACATTCGAAAATTTAACACTGTATAGCAAACAATAATAACTAACGCTACACCTGAGCGTCATTCTTTTACAGCTATTACGACATTATTCTATTATAATTTCATTGTCCTCTAGATTGATATAACTGATGCCAAAATCGCAATCATAGGTCTAAAAAACTTTTTCGAAACTGACTTTGAATAAAAGTCTTTCAAATGTCTGCGATTTCGGTCCGCCATTTTGAATCTCGCAAAACTAATGTCAAAATCATAATTAGCGACTTCAGAAACATTCAGACAATGAAATTATAATAGAGTAATGTCGTAAAAGCTGTAAAAGAATGACGCTCAGGAGTAGCATTAGTTATCATGGTGCTATAGAGTGTTAAATTTTCGAATACGTTTTCTTAATAATAAACCTTAAAATGTTTTGTTAGCCAAAATAAAAAATACGTGTCTATTGTTTTTCGATGTATTACATGTGTGCAAAGTTTCAAAAAGATCGGCGTGTGACATTTGGGTAGTGTTACTTGTAAGTCAATGAATTGTTTGGAGAAAAACTATATCTTATATGGATATCTTAGTAAAAATTTATTTGTTCGATAAATATATAAATTTCGATAAATATATATATTTCTATAATTTTCTATAAAATTATAGGATTTTTGGATACTTGTACGTTTTTTATTAGCCTATGCCCAAAATATTTCAAATACATGATACATCAAAAATATTTTAAACTGTTTTTATGTCTTCATATAAAATCTTGCAAATATTTTTACAATATTTCTTAGCAATCAAGATCTCCACTACTTTTCAGAATTCTGTCCCATACCGTCCGGATCGCCGAAAAACGGAGCGCGGTAACGGGTTATAGTGAAATTTCGGTAGAATTCTTCTTGTGGAAAAGATTTCACAAATTGACATCCTATGAAAGACTTATCGTAGAAAAACTGTTCATTAGAACGCTATAAATTTATTCTGACCGTATTGAATGTTTTCAATTGTCATTTCCATGAAAATGCGACTAATTATTTAACATTAAATTGCAATATACAAGCATGAAATATTATTTTTGAAAAAAGATTATGATATTACAAAATTCTTTTAACGATCTATCCATGGCACGCGAAGAGATACAAGTTTCGATAGAATATCTCTGACTTTTTTTTTATTATATTAAATATTTGGACTAAATAGTTTATTTTTGTAGTTGTAATAATATTATACTAAATAATATTATAAAAAATTAAAATTACTGCTTTGGTTGCATATGAGGATAATAAGAAACACTTAGTATCAGTTGAAGAAGTAGTGCAGCTAAGGTGATACAGTAGAAACCTGAAGATATCTGCAGTTCTCGAGATCGCATCCGATTAGTACTGAGTAAATTTTCTGGTATAAAAATAGTGAGAAATCAATTAAAAGATCTATATTTCATTTAAAATCAACATAAACTGACGTGTGAGTTAAAGATATATTATAAAAATTATTTTTTTGTACAAAGTTTCAATATTTCCAGAATTATCCAGCAATATTTCAGAATGTCCCTGCAATGTTTCCAGAATATCTTAACAATATTACAAGTTGGTGACAAGTAAGACATTTGAGTTGTAGAGACATTTTTAGAATATCTCTGAGATTATCTCCACAATATTTAACGTTGCAAATGTGATATTCTGGAAACATTGCTGAGATGTTTTGTGCTGTGTGGGTAAACATTATTGACTCCGCATTTTTTCCTTTTGTAATTCTTTGTAATATTTTTTGTAATATTAATATTATAAAAGATCCAAGAAAATAAAACTAGTACAATTGGTACATTAAATAAAATAATATTAAAAGCTTCCATTTAATGAAGCAATAATTAATTGTATTCACAATGGTTATCTTGCGTTGGCTCTTACAAGTTTACAAGCTTAACGTTTCTCGTGATTAGAAATCTAAGGAGCCCTAGAATAATCATTAATCTATTTTACATTTTACTAAAAAATTGTTTTATTTATTTTCATAATTCAAAGCCGTTTTTTAAATTAATAATTAATTTTAACTAAAAAATTGTTTTATTTATTTTCATAATTCAAAGCCGTTTTTTAAATTAATAATTAATTTTAACTAAAAAATTGTTTTATTTATTTTCATAATTCAAAGCCGTTTTTTAAATTAATAATTAATTTTAACTAAAAAATTGTTTTATTTATTTTCATAATTCAAAGCCGTTTTTTAAATTAATTTCATGAATAATTCATTATTTCTTATTACGAGCATCAATATAATTAGAAAATTCTTTCTCTGTTACACTGACAAATAAAGCAATCAATTATTTTGCAAAAAAAATATAAATTTATAGAAATCAATATTTGCATATTAAAACAATAATATTAAAGGCCAATTTTTAAATAGTAGTTTAAACTTGGTTAAAATTTAAATTTAAACTCTGTTCAAAAAAAAAGCGCATCAAACATATTGTTACAACAGAGTTTAAACTTAAATCTATAAACAACTATTAAAATGTAAAAGATACAAGAAAACCTTTTTATTCTATATTAAAGAACTTCAATTATTTTTATTTAAAGGCATTGGTACTTTACAGTGGACAAGGAAAACCAAAAAGATACAGAGGAATAAAATTTGGATAATTCACAAAGAATAACACGAACACATATATTTCAAAGTGCATCTAATGACATATCTATAAGATGCACATATTATCTTTAGGCGAACCGCGTTCTCTTTATGAGCGACTATACAAAAACATGCAATCAATTGTTTCACTCACCTCGCCAGCTCACTTTGATCGGACATGTGATTGTCTGATTCTTAATGAGATACGCGTTCAGTGATGTTAGGCTTGGGCTTTTTCGCAACGTACCCTCGTCGTTCTTCCACACATATGTAATCGCTGTCTGCTCGTACGATACTGAAAGACAGAAGAGTGTTTTCGCGTAAATCTTACCAGTTCAAAGCACAGGACAATGTAATTGTTTTCTCCTTTTTTTATAAAGAAAGTTTGTAAACTTTAAAGTTTATTAACTGTTTTATAATGAAAGTTACGTGACTTCAAAACTGGAAGCTCAATACTCACTGCTCTCAATTGCGAATGAACACAATGGGTCGTCAAAGGGGAAGATATTAAGTCTACCCTGGCAGGATAGGATAAGGTGACGCCTGTAAAATGGTGTAGTAACCTATTTATATAAGTATAAGGCGAACGGAACACTTTAGCTGGTATTGATTACAAATAACGCGAGAAATGTTACGAAAGCGTTTCTCAAAATTTCTCACAACAATTTTTTTTTATATTTTCATCTAGCTTGCACATAAAATATATCGATGATAAAAATACCGCATAAGGTAGTTGACGGTGCCGTTGCGGTATATCCGGAGGGCAAAATGAACGGGGATGATAGGGTCCTTGAAATCTCCATGCATTATGAAATACGTATCCGGTAACCAAATATCCTCATAATGATGAATCGCATTTAAAAACTCATATCTGGATCTGTTGCTATAACGCAATCGCGGATCGTACCACTGTTGCTGCAGTAGAAATTCCACCTCGTATTTCTGTGAAAGCAAGAAGACGATTGGGACATAATCTGACTTTTACTTTACTTCAAAATTAAATGCAATGTATTTGATAATTATTTCGCACGACTTTCCATTTGCAAAATCTTTTTTTCACGAATTCATAATCGACATCTTTCTATGAAATATTCGATGCCGTTATTTGCGATTACTATTCAGTATTTGATATAAATCATTAACTTTTAGCAAGTGTCATATTACTTTACTTTAGTTATATAATATGAAAAGAAGAAATGCATAATTATATTACCAAGCTGGATTCGTCAGGAGAAGCCAAACTTAACAGCAACACGCTTACGTTCACAGTCAAGGTTCCTGAAACAGCAAGGAGGTACGATCTTAGCTATTAAATCCTTCATCGTCCGATTGATCATGAAATTGCAAAATTACCGACACTCCATTTTTCTATATTAACAAATAGGTTATACTTCGTGCAGCTTCAACGACGATACCTTCGAGGATTTCGACATTTCTAATAAATGAAGAAAAAGATAATATATTGTATGTTACGATAAACATTCAATAGTCCAAACATTTTACAATCAATTCGTTTTACGACGACGAAAGTATTCTCTCGATGAACTGTTTGAACCTATCTGTCATATATTAAATAAGATTAAAATATTTTTCGTATTAAAAGAAAAAATTGTTTGTGGAGCAAATTTATAACTCATGATATAAATCATATGATCACTAATGTCAAACGTAGATCGATCAGTGTCGAGTTTTTGCATCGTACAGAAATTGCTTGATGCAATTTCTATGCATAAATATGAAGAGTGTAACTTTTCATAAAATATATTTACAGAATGTCCCAGACCTCCATGATCACACTTTGCCAGAACGTAGAACGGATTCGCGTGTCACGGTCGCACGCAAGCCGAAGACATTTTTCTTTCGGCTGCCGCTTCCCGAGCGCTTATTAGCTGAGAGAAAATAATTAATTTTTCGAAAACTATTGCGAGTATCGCAAAATGGCACAGAACTTTCTTGCACACCTAAATCCGTTCTACGTTCTCGCAAAGTGTGATCATGGAGGTCTGGGACCTGTATACAGGGTGTCTTAAAAATATGGGAACCTCTGAATATCTTTTTATAGTAAGGTAAAATTTTTAAAACAAAAGTTGTAGGATTTCAAAAGCTGAATTCGATGATGACTTTAAAATTGATCTAAGTTTGACCTTGAAGGCCATTTCAAGGTCAACTTTATTTTTTCAAATAAAACATGCATATTTTCATGAGGAATGTGGAATCTACGCCAAAAACTGAGAAGCTTTTGTCTGAAACATTTTTTCAGAAAATGCTATAAGACTCCGAATCCGTCATGAAAATATGCATATTCCATTTGAAAAAATAAAGTTGATCTTGAAATGGCCTTCAAGATCAAACTTAAGGTCAATTTTAAAGTCACCATCGAATTCAGCTTTTGAAATTCTACAACTTTTGTTTTGAAAGTTTTATCGAAAAACCTTACTATAAAAAGATATTCAGGGATTCCCATATTTTTAAGACACTGTATATATGTACATATATACAGGGTGTCCGAAACCTTTCTTGACACAATTCGTAGGAAAGTAAAGCGAATTAAATAGAACAGAAAAGTCAAATATCATTTTGCAAAATTCGCAATAGTTAATGAGGAATTAATATTTTATCGAAAGTAATGAGCGCACGGGTAGTGGCAACCGAAAGAAAGATATCTTTGGCTGGCGCGCGACCGTGATACACGCGAATCGCGGCTCTCTACATCTCTCCGCTCATAATTATGAGACACAGCGAAGCTTGATACACTAACTCATGTGCATGATATATCCGTGTGCCAAATTGACGCATAATTGGCACGCCGGCCGAATATATCTTTCTTTCGGCTGTCACTTCCCGAGCGCTCATTAGCTAAGAAAAAATAATTAAATTTCTCATTAATTATTGCAAATTTTGCAAAATGGTATTTGACTTTTCTATTCCGTTTAATCCGTTCTACTTTCCTACGAATTATGTCAAGAAAGGTTTCAGACACTCTGTGTATATATATATATATATATATATATATATATATATATATATATATGTGTGTGTGTGTGTGTGTGTGTGTGTATGTGTGTGTGTATGTGTGTGTCGTATCTGTGTTTATATCAAAATAAGCTTATGCTGTTAAGGAATACGTCGAAAGCTTTCTTTGAGCCATGCTGTGCACATGCTGCTACTACTTGGAATGAAGCTTGAGGTCGTGGTTAGGACTCGGATTGGCCTACAAATTTTAGCCTAAAGTATCTATTGTGATGAAACGTATCTCTGACCCATCAAAATACGTAAAGTTTCCTCCGATTCAAAATACGTTCACTCTCGAGGAGAAAATGCCACGAAGAGTGCTCTGTTTTCACGTAATATTGTAAAGAAATAATCAACAATGCGCGCTATCTAATTATCAATCATCACCATTACCTATAGAAACAAACACTTGCGAACATTGTACCTTACTATAAAATATGTGTGTATAGATGATTCACACTACTAACAACGTTATTAAACTCACATAGCAAATATCACGATACTACATTGTTATACGATAAATTATATAACGCTAGGCAGACATCTCATTCGTCAAAGAGTAGAAAAGTAAACTACATATTTCATACTCTAGGGAAGAGAGAGGGCGGACTACTGTAGAACATGTTCACAAATCCATTTGGAGACCGTGTATTTGTCTTCAGATACTTCTGCCTTCGAATATGATCCTCATACTTTCACTCATGAATGTCTTTCATTTCATCATACAAGAAGGACTCGAGTCCCAACCAACGATCGTCGCCGCGTGTAAACGCAATTAGGATAGATTTTACGGCGAAAAGTATACAAAATGGAGGTTAGGTCGAAAGCGGGATATATATGATCTCTCCAAAGTTCATTCCGATGATTTGATTTTACTACTCGAGTAGTAAGCGCTTGCGAACAAAAGTACCGCCGTTACTAGATCAATTTTTAATAACATCGGACTTCTATGCACCGAGGAGATATTCTCGGAAAAATCCACAATTCCGTTGCTTTGTGTCATTTTAACCTGATGCGTGTGTATCGTACGCGGTACAGTCAGATGGTTAAAGATTGCAACATTTTAACTAGACGAGTTTTATAATACTTTCCGTATCGCATAGTAAAATATATCTCCCTAAAAATTATTCGCTCAAAAAACATAATCTCATCTTTAGCGAAATCTTCTTATGTTACGGCCAAAAGATTCTCCTAAAACCAAAAAGAAAATACCCTAACACCCAAAAAGCAACTCTAGTTGTAAAGTGCTATTTTCTGTAATTTTATATCTAAGTGAAAATTTTTACCGAAAAATTATCATTTGATGAAGAGAAATAGTATTTGGTTTAAAATATTTTCCTTCTTGTTTTAGAAGAATTTCCTTGAGACTATATACAAGAAGTTTTAGCTAAGTATGAGATTTTTGGTGTAGACTAGATTAGATAGATTGGGTATTACACATTAAAAATACAAGTAAATGTCAAGTAAATGTTATTTGCTTCAACTATTTCATAAATTTATATATCTGCAAATTTATCCTAAGTTTATCCTAAACATCGAACTAATCTAAAAATTCTTCATTCTGAACTCTAGTAAGTTTAGCATTTTTTAAAATTAATTAAAACAAAAATTCAATTTAGTATATATAGAACCTTTAGTATATAAAGTCAAATCAACTTTTTCTTCGATAAAGTGTTACAGTATTCTAGTAAAAAAAAAGAAATAGTTCTGAATACATGATAACAGGCTTTTCTGAAATATCTAATGTGTGAATATATTTTAAGACTATTATAAAGAAAATATTCTTTGTTGAAAATTACCGTTACTTAACGTTTCAATTCAATTCAACTTTTTCAAATCATGGTTATCTAAAAGGTGTTAAGCGATTTCATTTCACAAAGTTATATCACAAAGTGTAGGTTAAAAAGATATACGCCATATTTTTGCTACTTTCTTATCCAAAATAAATACATAAAATTGTGAATATTGATACAAGGCTGTTTCTTAAAAATATTGTATTTTTTCTTTTAATTAGTCTTTAAAGCGAATAAGGGATCATTCGTTTCCGGATACAAATTAATTAACTTTTAATAACTTTGTATTTTACCTCATCCCGAAATTTCCATGATTTCATATATACTCTAAAAAAAGTTAAAGTAAAAAACATGGGAACTTGAGAATTAGTAGCGACAAAATTCATCAGTTACTGTCTGAATACCAATCGGAACAAATTAATCCTAGATACGGATAATACCTTTATTCACTTAAGAGATTATAGGACTCTAACAGGAGTAAGAATTAGGTAAAATTTAAAGAGGAAATATTTGTAAAAAATTGTAAATTAATAAAAGTATAAATTTTTTGTTATTAGCAATATCTTGATATAAGATATCTTGATAAAAGATAAATTTTAAATTTTTAATTTTATAGTGAATATGATTTTATATTAACATTATGTCTATTTATCTACATTATTTTATTTATCTACATTATTGTATCTATTTCAATTCTTTTTTGTAAAAGAATTATGTTTCGATTGTAACCATCCTGATCTCAACAGGAATGACCTAAAATTATATTAATATATTTTTTTATTCATTAAGGTTATAGTTATCGGTTCACGAGACGAATTTTAGAAAAATATTTTGAAGCAATATTTCGTAAAGTAGGAGTTATAAAAAATGTAATTTAATCTTTTCACTGAAAAACTTGAGCTTGTAAAATAAATAAATAAAAAATGCATTTGAAATTTGCAAAGAGATATCGTTAAAATAGACATATACATCAAAATATTTATATTCCTATTAATTTACAACTTTTTACAACTTTTTATACAACCAAATTATATATAATTTTTATACCTGTCAAGGTCCTGTAATCCCTTAACGTATACTGTTTACACATATAAATAAAAATTTGTTTTTCTTTATATATTGTATATTTCAGTAATTTTTCAAGTTATTTTAATGTATTTAACTAATGTATTTCGTAATATTTTTATTTTTTATAAGGTTGTTGAAGTAAAAAAACACGTGAACAGCTAATAAAACTTTCCTGGATATATATTTATATTTTATGTTTATATTTATATTTGTATGTTAAATTTACTTGAAAAGTTCTTTTTTATAATGTGTAAAAGTATTTTTTTATGTTATTTAAATTTATTTTCTTATATAAAAATACATAGTTTTCCTATACAAAAATAATCCGACTATATTATATATTATATATTTGCAAAATATTTTGTAAATATATAATTTAAACAATTCTTTTTATTAATTGTTACA